TAGAGAAATTCGGTATAACTTGTTTATTAATTCGTTCGAAGAGCTCAGGAACTGGTATCTCATTAACTCTCGCAAGTATGTCATTATTATGATGTACAAAACTTCCGCACTGTTTTTCCTAAATGAGGGAGGATGCTGTACTACTCCTTTCCAAGCCGAACGGTTTTATAAAAACGTAAATAGCCGTCGTAAATGGAATTTTATGCAAAATTAAATTCTTTGCAGTATATTATCTCAAGATCTTTATTAAAATCTAACTATTTCTAGAGACAACTTAGCATTATTTCTTTTGAATATGACTAAATGATTCTGTATCAAGTCAGGAGCCCCGGCATTATTTTAGATTATTCGTACTTATTCACAATTATTCGGGTGATTTGACAACTTGATCTTCGAGTATTTGCTTTATCTTACTACGTTCACGTAATAATCTTTGTTCTTATAATGAACATCTTCTAAATTTTTAGTTCTTTCTCAACCGCGGTTCACCTATGTTGATCGAAATTGGATTATTATCCGCGAATAAAATTAGCGTTTAATTCAAGAATGTATCTTTCGAAGTTTTAAGTATTTCCTCTATATCAGGGAGCACCTTTGTTATTGCTATTAGAAGATGTATACCTAATGATATAATACACAACAGCCAACAACCTGAATATATGACCAGTGTGTAGGAACGCAAGTAAAAACTAATTGTGGATGTCTTATATGCTTATTCAGAGATATAAAGGGATTACGATAAGTTTCGTCGGGCAACAGGAGACTTGACTAGGCTCGAATATGGAATTACTCTAACATCTCAGGACATTTGAGAGTAATAAATTAAAACAGCCTGCGTGTAATAGAGTGCAATAATATGCGGTAGCATCGCAGGATCAAAAATATAAGTCTTGTAAAGTCATAATTCCGTGCATTTCAAGATTTATCTGCCGTCATACGACGGACAGATCTCATTAAGTATTGATCAAGGTCGCATATTGGTGCGCCGACGTCCTATTTGCATAAATCTGCAGTCACACTTACGACATAATCCCAATAAACTTCCAGTGGGACAAGCTTACGATTATATCCCAATAACCTCATCAAAGAAAATGAAAGGTACACTAATAGGTAATCTTCGAAACATAGTTTTTGTATAAACAATTATTGATATAGTTATTATAATATATCTATCATCTAAACTTAAATCAACTTAAGAATTCTTTTGATTTCCCTCATTTTGTCCAACATCACAATTCGTTTACTTGATGGCGTAATTCACTTTACACTTTATTTTCTTTTACTATTGTTATAATTGATTGCATAATTTGTTTACACCAATTTCGTTTTAGTTCACATGCATAAGTTATTTTTACCCTTGTAATATAATAGTATTCTACTTAATACTTGTCAAGAATAATTGTTTATCCTAACTTATTTTTATAACTTTTGCTAGCCACATATGACTAAATAAGATGATAAAGATATAATTATGAGTTCTTAATTTATTAGGCTGCTAGTCTTTACAAAGTGACTTCAACGAGTCTTTTAAAATCAAAAAGCGTGTATCATTCGAAACCCTACTATTATACTAAAATAAATGGACATAATAATCAGAAAGTAATTAGTGTTGGTTTGACCAGCATAGCATCGTAACAAAATAATAAAAATGGTAAAAATTAATAAATTTATTAACCACGTAACTATTTTTGTTAAATATTATTTTAACTAGAGCGCAATATTTAACCTAGTTGCTCCACTTTCATGCCTCTTCAGTGTCGGTTCTATGAGAACCAATTCCCTTCCTGTAATGAGGTCGTGGTAGTTACTGTTAAATCTATAGAACCTATGGGTAGTTATGTTGATCTTTTGGAGTACAAAAATATCGGTGGGTTAATTTTACACAGTGAGCTTTCGCGGAGACGCATACGATCATTGAATAAACTTGTAAGAGTGGGAAAGAACGAAATCGTTTTGGTTATTAGAGTGGATAGTAGTAAAGGTAACTTTTATTTCATGAATATACAATGAAAAGGTTACATTGATCTATCGAAACGTCGTGTGGCACCAGAAGAGATCTCAAAGTGCCAAGAAAGGTTTGCTAAAGCAAAGGCAGTAAACCAAATCATTCGGCACGTAGCAGAAAAACTTGGATATAAAAAAGATGAGGAGCTTGAGGAGTTATGTCGAAATACGTGCTGGTACTTTGATAGAAAATATGGCAAGAGTGGCGCTTCATACGACGTATTCAAAAAAGCTGTTACGTAAATTAATAAATTATATAATTTGCAGAAATCCTTCAGTCCTAGATGAGTGTTCCATCGAAGAACCAGTAAAGGAACTTTTGCTGCAGGATATTCGTCACCGCCTCATGCCTCAGGCTGTCAAAATCAGAGCTGATTTTGAAGTTTCATGCTTTACCTATGAAGGTATAGATGCTGTTAAAAGGGCATTAAGAGCCGGTCTTTATTTGTCTACTGAAGAAATGCCAATTAAGGTATACTATTTCCTCTTTCATTTGTTTAAGATCAACTTAATGGCACCACCTTTATACGTTCTGACCGCTCAAACTTTAGAGTGGAACGAAGGCCTCGCTCATTTAAACAACGTTCTTTCTGCTATAAAGGTCTCAATAGAAGAACAAAAGGGGACGTTTAAGATACAACAGGCAGTGAGTAATACTTTTTGCTGGTGTTTACCGCATAAATCATGCAAATTTGTGTCTAATATATTTTTTGTCTGAAAAACGCTTTGTGGATGCGTGTTAATTGTGTGTATTCATTTCTCATGGGGGTTTTGGCTAATTAATGTCCTAGATCAAACCAAAAGTCAGTTAAGTCTTACATATATCGTTTCAACTCTAGGGTAATTCACCAGATTATGGTATAAAATCCAACGCTTTTCTGGGCACCGGGGCTTCACATATAAGTGGAAAATAAGGGAGTCGATTAAAATTAACAAATCAAATAACGTATAGGATAAGGAGAACGAATGCATGAAACTAAACAAAAACGAAAGAGGGAAACCAGAATGAGTCACCGGGTAATAGAAGAATTTATCAATCTGGAGTATGGTTTTGGATCTAAAATTGTCGACTGACTCGTGAGGATCGTATACACACAGCACGCATACATCCATAAAGCTAAAGCAATTCTCAGGCTTCATCGTTTTTACGCGTTTATTTACCTAAACAAAATTTGTGACTATGTGACCATGCGTCAACTTCATTTGCATACACGCATGGAGGAAAACCACAAACTGGCCACATGCTAAGGTTGCAATAAGTAGCTAGAATATCAGATG